CGGCAAATAAACGAAAAACTAGGAATTTTTAAAAAGTTCTAAAAATGCAAAGTTTCAAATCTAGGTATGTTACAAGAATCGAGAAAATGTTTTTATTCAATTGTCTGCTAATTGTTATCAACTGATATGATTTCTCTGAATTGGTTCGATTCGCACAATTCTCAATACTGATGATATCATTAATTAATAACAAAAACAACTACGGTTGTTTTCAAGGATTCCTCTCGCACCTCCACCTTGTTTGTTCTTCTAATCATATCAAATAATGCTCTTCGATATGGTCGATGCACCATAATCATCACAATTGTCGAAATAAATCCATGAGTTGATAAACAAGTTATTGCGATATTTGTTAAGGACTGGTTATAATAATTAAAGATAATTGAATAGAAAAAATAAACCAGTGGAATTAGGAGAGTAATCAGGGGCACAGAGATTTGAAGGAACAGTGCCATAAGAATTTGTTTTTGCATTTGCACTGTTTTCTGAGATATTTTGGTATTTTTCAATTTGTTCGATATATCATACACAAGGAAGAATAGTAATAGATGGATTTCAATAGTGACTATTGAAACAACTGATATCATTATCAGTAAATAAACTCCAACTTTGTCAGAGAGTACGAATATCTCAGCTGATTTTATATGATCAGGAAGGCAAGGAAGTCTCTGGAATCCTTTTTTAAAGGTGATTTTTCGTAGGATTTTTGTAGCCAGGGTATGCATTCTACCGTAACGGTGTACAACGCTTAATGTCACTCTGCGTACAGCGGTCGTCATCACCCTTATGTTTACCATCGGGCGCTCACTCCTCCTTTGAGAAAGCCGCGGCCTCAGAGGCCTGAATACAAAAAGCCGCGGCTAGCCGCGGCCGGCCCAGGCTAGCCGCGCGGCTTTTTGGAAGAACTTTGAAAATGAATAATTTTTTTCCTGAATATATATTTTTCCCAAAAAAAAAACAACTACCGGAGGGACGGTTTTGAGGTACACAGTCTGGAATCCAATGAAAACTATCCGGACAAAATGATTTTCGAGGATTCCGGAATACGAAATACGGATTCTGCGTTCTGTCGTCTCTAATTACTAGGATTGTGATAAATTTGATCAATAAAGACATTTTTCAGATAATAACATGAAATTTGAACACTTTCCGCGAAAAAAAATTTCCGAAAAATATTCAGTTTTCTAGATTTATGTTCAATTTTTTGTACGAAAGACCGGAACACGATTTGCGAACACACATTGAAAAGTTTGCATATGAATAAGTAGATATACGTTCCGAATTATTCAGAAAAAAAATAGATTTCACTTCATCGGATTTTCAT